TATTCTTAGATTCTTTGAAGTCCTGTTCTGTAAATGTGGGCTTGTTCGTGGTATCTATACTTCACAATAACAGCTGGCCAGGGCAGCTCAAGCAGGGAAGATATGTAACGGACTTGTATGAAAGGTGACATCCTACGACAGTGCCACCATGAAATTTACTCAACTCCGTAACATGGACCATTTACTACCAGTGTCCATCTATGGTGACTGTCTGGCTTTACTCATAGACGTATAAGCATTAAATGGCCCAATCAGCTAATTAGTAAGGAACACACATAGTGAAGGGGTACTTTGTTATTCGTGCATTGTATCTGCTGGTTGTCCTGCATTGAATATTTATCGTTCAAAGATTCCAACTTACATAAGCTCAAAGAAGTCCGATAAAACCATGCAAGCGAATCCATTCTTCTGATGGAAATGGTAGATGTGCCATGAAGTCAAGGAAAGATTCACCACCCTACGAACTGGAAGATATACTCCCTAGAATGATGGTGCCTGGGTACCTACCCTGGGAAGTGAGATGGGATTCTGGGAATGGGATCTGGTGGCATTCCTCAAGAACACTTTAAAGCTGAGGACAAAAGAGGAAACCAGAGTCCTATATAGTTTACTCCTAAAACAGCACCACCAAGTGTCCCTCAAGCATTAAAGCTGAGTTGTCACTTCATTCCTCACTCCCCTCATCCAGTAAAAGCTACTGCAGTGGAGTAGATAACTCTTTAAAGTCTGTTAAAATAAAGGAATAGTAAGAGGAGTTTCATCCTCTACATGTACGTATTATTGGCGTCTTCGCCAACACAAGCTGTGTCGGACCTTTTTAGCTATTTGTTGTGTAAAAGTTCAGTTCTGTTTTCGATCAATAAATGTGATACACTATGAGCCAAAACCCATGCTGTAAAACAGAGGGCCAGGACCAGGTATTATTGGGCCACCAGTACTCCATTTTGCAGGTTTTGTCTAAAACTAAACTGCACTCAGTTACACTTTGTATCATTCAAAGTGCAAACGATGGACCCCCTCACCCCCGGCACGTTTGCAAGAAAAAGGATATCTTAGTGAAAAAGTTGTCCAGGTTCTTGATGTGATGCCACGAATCTGTCACAAAATAAATAAATAAAAAGGGAATCAAAGTCAGAATTGGAAAAGAAAATCTTCTTGTTACAGGATCAAACAGCCTGACAAAAGGTAGAATTATAAAATTATAACATTCGTGTAACTCAGCCCTCTACCTCATCCCATCTACCTCACCCCATCTCAGTGCCCTCTACCCTCCCAGAATGTTATACCCATCATGTAACCCAGCTCAGTGCCCTCTACCCTCCCAGAATGTTATACCCATCATGTAACCCAGCTCAGGGAGTTACATTCATCATGTGATCCAGCTCAGGGCCCTCTACTCCCCAGGGAGTTATATTCATCATGTGATCCAGCTCAAGGCCCTCTACCCCCCAGGGAGTTATATTCATCATGTGATCCAGCACAGGGCCCTCTACCCCCCAGGGAGTTATATTCATCATGTGATCCAGCTCAGGGCCCTCTACTCCCCAGGGAGTTATATTCATCATGTGATCCAGCTCAAGGCCCTCTACCCCCCAGGGAGTTATATTCAACATGTGATCCAGCACAGGGCCCTCTACTCCCCAGGGAGTTATATTCATCATGTGATCCAGCTCAGGGCCCTCTACTCCCCAGGGAGTTATATTCATCATGTGATCCAGCACAGGGCCCTCTACTCCCCAGGGAGTTATATTCATCATGTGATCCAGCTCAGGGCCCTCTACTCCCCAGGGAGTTATATTCATCATGTGATCCAGCTCAAGGCCCTCTACTCCCCAGGGAGTTATATTCATCATGTGATCCAGCTCAGGGCCCTCTACCCCCCAGGGAGTTATATTCATCATGTGATCCAGCTCAGGGCCCTCTACCCCCCAGGGAGTTATATTCATCATGTGAACCAGCTCAGGGCCCTCTACTCCCCAGGGAGTTATATTCATCATGTGATCCAGCTCAGGGCCCTCTACTCCCCAGGGAGTTATATTCATCATGTGATCCAGCACAGGGCCCTCTACTCCCCAGGGAGTTATATTCATCATGTGATCCAGCACAGGGCCCTCTACTCCCCAGGGAGTTATATTCATCATGTGATCCAGCTCAGGGCCCTCTACTCCCCAGGGAGTTATATTCATCATGTGATCCAGCTCAGGGCCCTCTACTCCCCAGGGAGTTATATTCATCATGTGATCCAGCTCAAGGCCCTCTACCCCCCAGGGAGTTATATTCATCATGTGATCCAGCACAGGGCCCTCTACTCCCCAGGGAGTTATATTCATCATGTCATCCAGCTCAGGGCCCTCTTCCCCCCAGGGAGTTATATTCATCATGTGATCCAGCTCAGGGCCCTCTACTCCCCAGGGAGTTATATTCATCATGTGATCCAGCTCAGGGCCCTCTACTCCCCAGGGAGTTATATTCATCATGTGATCCAGCTCAAGGCCCTCTACCAACAGGGGCGGGCTGGGCCGGGGGGCAGGGAGGCAATTGCCCCCCAGGCCGCCCTAAATTCCTGTAAGACCGGCCGCGGCGGGCCGGCCCTTTAAATACTGCAGCCACCTGAGCGCTCTGTTAAGAGCCTCAGGCGGCTGCAGCTTCTCCCCTCCCCTCCCCTGTAGCGTGGCCGAGCTGCACTCCAGTCCGCGGTGGCCGGCCAGCCGGCCGGAGTGATAGGAGGGTGCACACTGAGTGTGCACTTCCTGTCAGTCCGGCCGGTTACAGGAAACAGAAACCCTGTTCCGCGCGGAGTTTCTGTTTC